ACATCGCCGCGTCCAAAAATATCTCTCCATCGCTGCTTTTTTAGTCGACGGATCCGAGAAGGATTCTGCGGCAGATTCTGAGGCTTCGAGGTCCTTTCCCTGCTGCCGCTTCTGCTGTTGCTTCTGCCTGCTGCCGCTTCTGCTGTTGCTTTCTGCTGTTGCTTCTGCTGTTTGCTTTTTCTGCTTTGCTGCTTGCTTCTGCTGTTGCTTCTGCTGTTGCTTTGCTGCCGCTTCTGCTGTTGGCTGCTGTTAATGCCTGCTTGCTCTGCTTCTGCTGTCTGCTTTTCTGCTGTTGCTTCTGCTGTTATTCTTGCCGCTTCTCTGTTGCTTTCTGCTGTTGCTCTGCTGTGCTTCTGCTGCTTCTGCTTCTGCTGTTGCTTCTGCTGTTGTCTTTCTGCTGTTAATTCTGCTGCTGTTGTTCTGCTGTTGCTTCTGCTGTTGCTTCTGCTCGCTGTTGCTTCTGCTGCTTCTTCTGCTGTTGCTTTGCTGTGGCGCTTGCTGCCGCTTTCTGCTGCTCTGCTGTTGTCTCTGCTGTTGCTTCTGCTCGTTCTGCTGCGCTTCTGTGCTGTCTGCTGCCGCTTCTGCTGTTGCTTCTGCTGTTGCTTCTGCTGCCGCTTCTGCTGTTGCTTCTGCTGCCGCTTCTGCTGTTGCTTCTGCTGTTGCTTCTGCTGCCCGCTTCTGCTGTTGTTTCTGCTCTGCTGGCCGGCTCTGCTTGTTGCTCTCTGCTGTTGCTTCTGCTGCTGCTGGCTTCTGCTGTTTGCTTTGCTGTTGCTTCTGCTGCCGCTTCTGCTGTTGCTTCTTGCTGTGCTTCTGCTGCCGCTTCTGCTGTTGTTTTCTGCTGTGCTTCTGCTGTTGCTCTGCTTGCCGCTTCTGCTGTTGCTTCTGCTGTTTGCTTCTGCTGCCGCTTTCTGCTGCTGCTGCTGTTGCTCTGCTGCGCTTTGCTGTTGTTTCTGCTGTTGCTTCTGCTGGTTGCTTCTGTTGCTTCTGCTGTTGCTTCTGCTGCCGCTTCTGCTGCTTTGCTTTCTGCTGTTAATTCTTGCTTCTGCTGCTTTGCTGCGTTGGCTTCTGCTGTTTGCTTCTGCTGTTGCTTTCCTGCTGCCGCTTCTGCTGTTGCTTCTGCTGTTGCTGCCTGCTCTGCTTTCTGCTCTGCTGCTTTCTGCTGTTCGCTTCTTCTGCTGTTGCTTCTGCTGTTGCTGCTTCTGCTGTTGCTTCCGCTTCTGCTGTTGTTTCTGCTGTTATTCTGCTGCCGCTGCTGCTGCTTTGCTGTCTGCTGTTGCTTCTGCTGCTTCTGCTGTTTTTGCTTTTCTGCTGCTTCTGACTGTTGCTCTGCTGCTGCCGCTTTGCTGGCTGCTTCTGCTTGTTGCTTCTGCTTCTGCTGTTGCCTGCGCGCTTCTGCTGTCTGCATTCTGCTGCCGCTTAGCTGCTGCTGCTGCTTCTGTGTTGCTTCTCTGCCGCTTCTGCTGCTGCTTCTTCTGCTGTTGCTTGCTGCTGCCTGCTTCTGTTGTTGCTTCTGCTGTTCTTCTGCTGTTGCTGGTTGCTTCTGCTGTTGCTTCTGCTGCCGCTTCTGCTGTTGCTGTTGCTTCTGCTGTTGCGTCTGCAGCTACTGCTACTCTTGATGGTGATGATGGTGTCGATGATCTTAAGGTTTATTAATGTTATTATCTCATTGTTATTAGTAGTAATAGTAGTGAGATTTATCAGTGTTATTATCTTTATACAGGTTTATTTAGGTTTTATTATTATTTAGGTTTATTTATTATTAAGTTTATTTATTATTCAACAGGTTTATCAATGTTTTTATCTCATTTTTTAAATAATTGCTATGATTAATTATCATTATCTTCATTACCGTTAACATTATTGTTATTATTGTCATTTTCATTTTCATCATCTTTGTTAACGTTTTCATTATCATCATCAGTATGAGTAGAAGCAGTAGTAGTATCATCATTATCATTATTGTTACTATGATTATCACCATTATTGTTATTATTATGATCATTATAATTATTATCATCAGTATGATCATTATCGTTATTACTATTATCATTATTATTATTATCATTATTACTATTATTGATGTTATCATTAATAATAGGAATAATTGCCGCTGATATCACCATCATCAGATTTATTGTTGTTGTTGTTGCTTATATTATAATGATGATGATAATGAGGATAATGATTTTAATGATAATTGAATTCAGAGAGGAATTCTCAGACTGAAGACTAAGGCCATGGGAGGTCAGTCTTTTCTCTCTCTCTCTCTCTCTCTCTCTCTCTCTCTCTTTTCTCTCTGCTCTCCTTTCCGCTCACTCCCTCTCTTTCTCTCAACTCCTCTCCATCTCTCCTCTCTTCTCTCTCTCTCTCTCTCTCTCTCTCTTCTCTCTCATCTCTCTTCTCTCTCTCTCTCTCTCTCCTCTTCCTCTCTCTCTCTTCTCTCTCTCTCTCTCTCTCTCTCTCTCTTCTCTCTCTCTCTCTCTCTCTCTCTCTCTCTCTC